CGAAATATACATCTTTTCGTCCCAGGAATACATCATGGGAATGCCAAAAGCCAAAATGCTTAGAACGGATTTAGCAAACTTGTGGGATCTGGTCAAATCCTGGAGGCAGCCATATTTGTTTTTATTATTACTTATGAGCGTAATCGTTCCATATTTCATGTTTCCTTATATGGTAGAATGAAAATACCCAGTGCAATACTGCAAAATTTTGGCATGCTGTAACTTATGGCATTACGATGTTATAGAAATAATATAATATTATTTTTTCCTACCAGCTACTATTCCTTTCATTCTTTCCACTAATGTAATAGCAGCATGCATGGTTCCACCAGTCTCTATCCATTGATCAACCAACAACACTCTAGTACCTACAATATAAAATAATTTAACAGTATAAGTATTAACTGAATTTACATATTTTTGTGTAATTTACCTAACTGAGTTCATTCTTGACAAGAATTATTATATAATTATTTGCCAATAATGCTGAAATGTAATAATACAGTACTCATAATTCACCTAGAATATTGAGCATGTTTATTTTTGACTCCCAGGTGCAATGCACACAATCAGAGTCTTTGCAGTTAGTGCGTCTGTATGTGTGTGTATGTGTGTGTATGTGTGTGTAGGTGTGTGTAGGTGTGTGTCTGTCTGTGTGTCTGTCTGTTCCACTGATATCTCAAGAACCATATGTTGGCGTTTGATAAAACTTGATGCATAGATGCTCTAGGCTAATGTGCACATTTGATTAGGTTATTTAATTTGCAAGATAATTAGCTGATTTTTAGCTGTTCTATGACTGTTCCACTGATATCCACAGAACCAATCATTGAATTTTAATGAAACTTGGTACATACATGTAGATGCTTTGGGACAATGCGCAGACAAGATAAGTTTGGGGTTAATATCCAGGAATATTAAATACATACCTAATTAGTAAATTGTTGGCTTTTCTGCTTAAGTCTTGTGTACTAATCATCAATTTTCAATGAAATAGGTAGATGGATGCTCCAGGACAATGCACAGACCTTATTAGTTTTACATTGAAATCTTTGCAATCAATTACCTAATATTGCAATCAATATCAAGTACTTATCATACTTCAACAAATCTTGGTACATAAAAACTTATGTATGTAATCTAAACTTTTTTGTTTATATACATCCATAATTATACATCCATAATAATTACCTAATTTGCATAATAATTAGTCAAAGACAAAGTTGAGATCAATTTGCTATGACTAATGTTTAAGATGAATATATATGGTCAATAATATGCATAACTGTAATATCTTAAATACTGTTGCAGATTGGAACATGTAACTAGCGCTGACCAAAATATCAAGGCATCATATATGGTCAATATTTCAATAAATATTTATAATTATTAAACCATAGCTATTTGGCACCATCCTGATCATTGCTTGCAGTTATATTTTTAAATCCTGTATTTTTGTAAATATATAGTAAATAGTATTTCTTATATGTACTTCATACCTCCTATACCTTCAGCACACGGGAGTTCTTTTTAAGCTTTCTTTGATTTTATTTGACGTAAGAGGGTATTTCTCTACATTGTATTTAATCATAAATAATGGCAATGTAATATTTGAAAAGTAAGGGTAGGTCATGCAAAAATAAACTAGGTAGTTGTCATGCCACACATATGTGAGATATATAGGTCCCATATGAACTAATTTGGTGACTTTAACGAGCAGTAACACATTGACAAGTATTCCAAGTACTATCAATATTTTGGGCCATTGGGAGAATAAATTGGACAGTGGGAAAAAGTTTATCACACAAATATGACATATGCATGAAGCGATGACCACCACCCTTCTGGAATTAAGATTTATTTATTATTTCTGAATTAGCATCAGACACGGTTAATTCTATTTGTGCATGAATAACCTACCTAGCAACGGGTGAGGGTAGGACAAAAATTTAAAAAGTCCAGAAGAAGTCAGCAGCATATTCAAAACAGTTTTTTAAAGATAGCGGAGTGAGTGTGGGTAGGTACAAACAAAAGTAGCTATAATATCTATTTAAGACAGATGATTTTTCATAGAAAATGAACTGCAATTGAGATGGTACGTGTGTGTTTCACAGAGTAAATATGACCAAAAACCTGCAAATAATATGAAAATATTACACGCGATAATTAAAGATAAATTGCATACTCATTATTCTTACTTAGGCAGTATAATGTGCAACTTTTCGAAGGTTGGTACAAGTAAGTTAAAAGATGGCAGTTTTATTTCAGGTGAATTTTTACATTGCGAGTTGGAAACATTGATGTTCGGTGCACTGCGACTCTGCACATTTGAAACATTCAAAATCTATCCTACCTTCCAGTTTGTTGACCCCAGGTCACGCAATATGCGCAAACGTGCAAACGATGAACACGCAAACGCTATCAATTCGGGAAATTTGAACAGCATAGCCGCTATCACTGCTATAGTAATGACATATTTTATAATATCATGCAAAACATAGAAAATAAATCTACCTTCAAGAAAAGGGTCAGTTCTTATTTCCAAGGTTTTTTTTGTATTTTGATAATCTGTGTAATGTACATCTGAAGTGTCAACACACAGACCACCTTTCTTTCTCAATGCAAGAAACCCTTTATCTAAATAGTTTGCTATAGATGAACCTAAAATTAGAAAAAAACAAAATTACTTTTTTGTGGTACCACATGAACACGATGATACGTCATGTAATGACATGCTAAGGGTAAAGCATGCATATATCTTGTTTTTTAGTTCCATGCATATACATACCGAGTATAAATCCCATGGCATCAATACCCGCTACAAGATCTATTTCATTTGTATCAAATGGCTCCAATAAATCAATAACACAGCCTCTAAATGCCTGGTAGTAAAATAACAGAATTATTTAATTGTTTCATTATGGTTGAGGTACATGTTTATGTGTTGTACATTAGGATTTTTGATGATATCTATTAAATCACAATTTTGTGTCTAATAATTACCACAATTACTATTACTGGTATATCATATCATTAAATCCTTCATAGATGCAGGAACTTGTAATAAATTGATCACAGCGATATCACAAAGTGGGTATAGGGGCATTACAGTTATTATGCCAGAATGAATCTTGTAATAACCTTGTTATTATATATTACATCGGTCCATGGGACAAATTGGCTGCCCACAGAACATAACCAGTAACTTGCATGTATTGGGTATTCACATACCTCACGATTTGCATACAGTCTGGATGGGTCTAACCAGGCAAAACCAGGTCCTTTAACATTAGGTGCTACCAATGACCAGTACCAGTATTTATCTTTTGTGGTGCCCATAATAGGCCACAGCACGCTCTATTTGTCAAAAAAGAAGACATCATAAATAACAATATCTTGTTAATTAAAATAATTTATAACAATTTAATTATTTTTTTAAATAAAGAAAAAATTAACACTTTAATTTAAACACTTCGCATTTTCTGAAATCTCACTCACATTGAAAGTTATATGGGCCCAAACTCCACTAAAACAATTATTAAACAGATATAGCAATGCACAAACAAGGTATGAATATCATTAAAAGAACATGAAACATATGCTAAAAAAACCAAATGATAATGTTTATAAAAATAACATTAATATTTTTATTTACTATCATATCCCTTTGACCCTCTTCTGCACTATGCAGATGCGTCAAGGAACTGTCATGCACACTGTGGAACTAATTATAACCTTGATATTCTTAGAAAATACTAAGCTGATTTCCATTTTTCCTGCACAAAAATTTGGTTACATTGGCTCAAATTGCTATATCAACATTTTTGTGAGTTATAGTTATTTCAATACAAGTATGATGGAAAAAATTGACATACAAGCTAGGATGAGGACATGTGAACATCATTAAATATAAACCCAATACTAGTGTACAGGTGTATATTTCTATAAGCGTCAAACATGCCAAAATAAATCCAACCAACCGTTAGCGATGTTCTTAGAGTTAGAATGTAATCAGCTCAGGCGTGCCTCAAAAACAGTTGATGACATCTTCAAATTTTGCAATTTTATTCATTTTTCATAAAAATGGCCGCCATTTCACTAAATTTTATTGAAATCTAAAAATAATTTAAAACAACGTTTAACCCATTATATCTTGCCTTTGTGCCAAATTTAAACCCAATCTGTAAAATCATCCCTGTAAAATAGCAACCATTCTGCTATTTTGTATTGAATCATGAAAATAAAAGATGAGCATTAGTAAGCCACAATGACTGATGTTCGAATGAAATTGATCAAAGCATGTCCAAGAAACGGTTGATGACATGTTTGAATTTTGTGATTTTATTCGTTTTTGATGAAAATTGCCACACTTTGGCTAAATTTCAATGAAAACGAAAAGTAACTGAAAACAATATTTAAACCATTATATCTCGCCTTTGTATAAAATTTAATTTAACCCAAATTTGTACAATCATGTAAATGAGCAGAACACTCGCATAAAACAAAATGGCCACCAGTCCATCACTTTGAATCGAATCACAAAAAAGATTATGTGCATCAGTAACCCACCATGACTGATGTCAATGCCAAGTTTGAATAAAATCGGTCAAGGCAAGAAAAGTATTCTCCTTGGGGAAAACAACAATAATTATACAAACCGGAACACATCGAGAAGAGTCGACAATCAGGAAAGGAAACTCAGAAATGTACTTTGTAAATCAGACAATCATATCACACTTGTGTTAAAATACATTTTTGTGGTAGTATGTTCTGTAAGAATATTATTTACCGGGTAAATCTAGCAGTCTGTCGGCTGATATAGCTCCACTGTTTGTGATGCATGCTCTGAAAGCAATGACTAAGAAGAAATTTAAACTTAATGCTAGCTGCTTTAATATCGCAAGACACCAACTTTCTTGATTTTGTTGCAGAGAATATTTCACTAAAATTAGAGAATTGAAGATATCTTTACAAATGGACACATCTAATAGAGGTTTACCCAAGCTGCATGTGTACAAGTATTGAAGAATTTGGACTACTGGTTTTGAAGGACACGTCAAAAATATGTTTTTTGATGAAAAATTTACCTCACTGCTTTTCTTTTTATATATTTTATTTTTATCGAATTCAATACTATCTTCAAAATATATATTGAAGGAACATCTCATGGTTCAGTCGTCAAAGCGAATCAATAAAGTTCACCATGAGTATTATAAAGAGTACATGAAATTCAAAATTGTTGTTAGGTTTGTAACAAATTTTATATTCATTTTATGGTCGGTAATAAAAGCAATTTTTATAGGCGAATTTGTATCATTTTAA